TCAACTCTTGAAAAGATGGTACACAAGATTGGAATGCGAAAATTCAACCATCTAAATCGTGGTTTTTATCAGGGGGAGTAAAATACGTACTGTACTCTTTTTTCTTTAGTCTAGGTTTTGTCCCACTGGGTTTTCCTAGAAAGGTTTTTAATGAGGCAGCACGTAATGCGTATTATGTATGTCTATGTATATTTTTATTTTTTCAACTTTTCTTTTACATGGACATCCAAGGGGAGTGTTGTAAAGCAAATATGGATGTCATGTGGCCCCCAACAATTTGAGGACTTACATCACTTGTAATAGTGTAAAGCCAACGCTCATGCCATGTGGGACTAACCCATTGGAGGGCCACCATCACTTACTATCTCGAAAATATCCATATCGTCCATCCAAATTGTCTCAATTACAGCCAACTCCCCCTCCCCTGTCTCTTTCCCTATCAAAAAATGGACCAATTAAAATGGCCAAGTTATACATTTGTAAGTCATCTTTTGGCTATAAATAGGCATTACATTTACAAAGGAATATATAGGTAATGAAATACATTACTCTCTCAATTGTCCTTCTTTTAGTATATTAATTTTAGTTAGTTATTTTATAACACTGACTATATATGGATGGAAAATGTCTTTTATCTTGTGAGAGGGAAAAAAAAAAGAGAAATTATATCCCAAGAACGTGAATTTATGTATTATTTATATAGATATTATGGATGAGTTAGTTGTTTATGTATAAATTATTTGAGTATTACTTATTTGATATTCTAATTTCTATTACGCATAAAATAACATATATATATATGTCCTCATAATTTATACTTGTATTAATCGTGCGAATTTCGAAATTATCAAGTAAACAACGTATTAATTTTATACAGAAAAAATGGCCAAATGACCCCCAATCTATTACCGAATTTTCAACTACACACTTGTACTTCACGGGAGTTTTATTACACCCCTGAGCTATTTTAAAGTAGAATTATTTCCTTCGTGAAATGTTATTACTAGACATGTGTCTTGTGGTGGAATACACGCACCTGACACATGTATTTCACCATTTAATAGTTTCTTTTTTTAAAAAAAGTTCTCCTCCTTTCACTTCCTTTCTTTCTCAATCATTTCTTCAATCTAACTATGATAAATATCATTTTTTACCTCAATAAATTTCTATATCTCTAACAATTATAAAAACGAAAATTCAAGTCGCCTTTTCATCTACTCCGAATCTCTAGAGCCTAGAAGATAGTGGTCCTACTCAAATCTTTCATCCAACCAATTCAACAATTTTTCCAGATTTTTTTACATTCGTTCGATCTTCTTCCTTAGACAATTTCAGATACGCATTAAATGGGTCATGAACATTTGAGATCAGATTCATCCCCTGAACATTCGGTCGACAACTCAAAATCATCGCGGATGAGAAGACCAATTTGAGAAACCTCTCTCTCTTCCCCATTTTTTATTCTTACTCCCTCTAAAATTTTCATGATTAATTTATAAGTTGAGTTTTTGATTTTGATTCTTCATTGGTGTTAGGAGAACATGTAGGATCCTTCATTTAAAATGTAGAAAAAAATTGTTTTGTTTTAGTTCCTTTTAATTAGTTTGAAAATACGTTTTTTAAATATACAATAACTTTACTTTGATTTTGTTACTCTTGATCCATGACTTTAAAAAAAAAATAATGGGTATATTTTAAAAAAAAAAAATTTAATTTGTTAGATATGTTCTAAATAAATCTATTGAAAAATTATTTATTCATAAAATGCATTAGTTGTTGATAGTTTTTATACCAAACATCCATTGAAAAAGCTTCAACAATGATAATGGTGAAAAATGTATAGTTGTATAGATAAAAAAGAAGAAAGAAAGAGAAAGAAAAAAAGAAAATTAGAAAAAAAACGGAAATAATAATAAAAAAAAAAATAAGCAACTCACTCTCTCAAAGAGATTGAAATACACTCTCTATGCCAGCTCAACACTTAAGAGGTTATTTATTCAATTTTAAAATAGTTCAAGGGGGTAATAGGACTCCCGTGGGAAATAGGTGTGTAGTTGGAAATCCGGTAATAGGTTGGGGGATCATTTGGCCATTTTCTCATTTTATACATGATTATCTAATTTTTTTTATATCTACCTACCAAACATCATATAAAATTATTCAAAAATTCATACATAAATAATTAATTTCTTATCCAACCATCAAACTATGCCTACTAAGTGGCTCACATTCACAAATTTGAACGTCAAATTCATCTACAAGTAGCAAAAAAAAGATATTTAAAGATAATTCATGAGTGAGCGCTATATTAACTCACTTACAATTTTGGGCCAAGACTAAAGCTTTACTATTTTCTCTGGTCAGTGTCGTACACAAAAATTTTAGAAAATGGTATTGATATTTATAGAGGAAAAGACATAAATTTAATTATCGTATCTCATTGGTTTAAACTAGCTTTAAGTAAAAAGAGATTTTGAACCTACGCACCAATAGGTAACTTTTGTCAAGTAGCGTCATTTTGTTAAATGTATGTCTTTATGCATAGTATTAGTATATATGAGTAAAAAGA